TACGCATCAACAATTGTGGAGTTAACACCATTGAAGACAACGAGGAAGACTATGACATTGATAGATGGATCTACCCGACTACCAACGGTGGACCTAGTAATTGGACGGCCAGAGATTTTATATCAGTTTCTTTCATTCCGGAGTAATTGTCTTATTTGTTTTCTGAGCTTATAATAAACAATTTAAAATTTATGGCCTTGTGTCTTGCCCAGGACACAACAGTTCTATTTGTGAGGGCTATTATATGTCATATTTACATATCATCAATAAAGCATTAGACGTTCTTGCATACAAATTTTGCGCTCTCTGTTATTTCTTTCCTTCTTTTTAAAATACAGCTATGCTCTTACACACACTCATGTATCAAACTGCAGATCCATATCCACTATGGATCCTATTGATAACAGTTCTGCTACTGCTCATTATGACTTTGAAAATCCGATCAACCAAGCCGAGGACGAAGGTGAGGAAGATTGTGAGGTGCCTGGGGAGCTTGCTAGACTACTACAACAGGAAGAGAAGGCCATACAGCCTCACGAAGATCCAATTGAGATAGTGAACTTGGGAACTAAGGAAGACATAAAAAAGGTTAAAATAGGTGCAAATCTGGAGCTTAGCGTCAAATAGAGGTTGATACAAATGTTGCACGGCTATGTTGAGATCTTCGCCTGGTCCTATGAAGACATGCCTGGTTTGGACACTGATATTGTGGTACATCGCCTGCCGACTAAAGAAGATTGCCCTCTGGTAAAGTAGAAGGTCCGCCGTATGCGTCCCGAAATGTCATAGAAGACCAAAGAAGAAGTTATGAAGCAGTTTAACGCTGGGTTCCTAGCTGTCACTTCCTACCCATAATGGGTTGCTAACATCGTCCCAATACCTAAGAAGGATGGTAAGGTATGGATGTGAGTGGACTACAGATATCTGAATAGGGAAAGTCCCAAGGATGACTTCCCACTACCGCACATTGACGTTCTGGTTGATAACACCATGCAACACAAGATCTTCTCCTTCATGGATGGTTTCTCTGGCTACAACCAAATCAAGATGGCTCATGTAGACATGAAGAAGACAACCTTCATTACATAGTGGGGCACTTTCTGTTATAAGGTGATGCCTTTTGGGTTAAAGAATGCTGGGGCAACTTATCAGCGCACCATGGTCGCTTTGTTCCACGACATGATTCACCATGAGATATAGGTTTATGTGGATGACTTGATCACCAGGTCTCAAACCGAAGAAGAGCACCTTGATCATCTGCAAAAATTGTTTGACAAGTTGAAGATATACAAGTTGAGGTTGAATCCAAACAAGTGCGCCTTCAGGGTGAGGTCCGGTAAGCTTCTGGGGTTTATCGTCAGTGACAAAGGTATTCAGGTAGACCCTGCGAAGGTAAAAGCCATACAAGAGATGCCGGTTACCTGTACAGAAAAGGAGGTTAAAGGTTTCTTGGGACGCCTGAATTATATCGCCAGGTTCATTTCACATCTTACTGCTACTTGTGAGCCAATCTTCAAGCTTCTGAAGAAAGATCAAGTGGTAAAGTGGAATGATGAATGCCATACCGCTTTCGAAAGAATCAAGGAATACCTTCAAGAACCACCAATTTTGATGCCTCCGGTTGAAGGAAGACCTTTGATTTTGTACCTAAAAGTGCTAGACAATTTAATAGGGTGTGTGTTGGGGCAACATGACGGGTCTGGTCGAAAAAAGCATGCAATATACTACCTTAGCAAAAAGTATACAGACTGTGAGACAAGATACTCATTGCTCGAGAAAAATTGCTGCACTTTGGCATGGGCTGCTCGCCGACTAAGATAGTATATGCTGACCCACACTACCTTGTTGATATCAAAGATGGATCTGATCAAATACATCTTCAAGAAACCCGCTCTTTCCGGAAGAATAATAAGATGGCAAATGATCTTAACTGAGTACGACATACAATATACAACCCAAAAAGCAATCAAGGGGAGTGTTTTGGCTGATCATTTGGCTCATCAGGCTATGGATGACTACCAATCCATGAATTTTGAGTTCCCGAATGAGAATATTATGCCGGTGACTGACTACAAATAACCTGGACCGGATGAAGGACCCGAGGAGGGATCCCGGTGGACTATGTTTTATGACGGAGCTTCGAACGCACTAGGTAATGGCATCAGCGTTGTAATCATATCTCTTGAGGGCTGTCATACTCCTTTCACTGCCCGACTATGTTTCAACTGCACTAACAACATGGCGGAGTATGAAGCCTATATCATGGGTCCCAAGGCCTCTATTGACCTTAAAATCAAGTTCTTGGACGTTTTCAAGGATCCATCCTTGGTAATAAGTCAGATCAAAAATGAATGGGATACGAAGCATCTGAATCTCATCCCATACAAAGAGTACGTGTTGACATTGCTCCCACACTTTGAAGAGGTAACTTTTGAACATTTTCCACGAGAGGAGAACCAGTTAGAAGACGCGTTAGCTACCCTGTCTTCTATGTTCAGAGTTAGGTGGGACAATGAAGCTCCCCAAATCACCATTGAGAGGTTGGATGAACCAGCACACTGTTGTGAGATTGATACCGATGAGGTTGCAGACAAACCCTGGTTTCACGAAGTCAAAAGGTATCTCGAGACTCAAGAGTATCCCGAAGGGGCATCTGTCAACGACAAGAAGTTTCTGAGAAGGTTCGCTGCAAAGTTCTTCCTCAGTAATGGAATCCTTTACAAGCACAACCATGACTCTACCTTACTGCGGTATGTAGAAAAGGGCGAAGCAGAGAGAATCATGGAGGATTTACATGAATCTACCTTTAGAACCCATTCAAGTGTACATACCATGGCTAAGAAGATCCTACGGGCGGGATACTATTGGTCCACTATGGAAGCGGATTGTTATCAGCACTCTCGAACCTGTCATAAGTGTCAAATCCATGCTGATAAGGTGCATGTGCCTCCGGTCCCTTTGAATGTCTTGACGGCTCCTTGGCCCTTTGCAATGTGGGGCATTAACATGATCATAGAAATCAGACCTACCGTCTCCAACGGGCATCGCTTCATTCTAGTGGCCATTGATTACTTCACGAAGTGGGTTGAGGCGACCTCTTTTGCTACCGTGACCAAGAACGTTGTTGCACATTTTATCAGGCATAACTTGATCTGTCGGTATGGCGTGCCAGAGAGAATTATTATAGACAATGGTACAAATCTCAATAACACGATGATCACCGAGCTCTACAAGTAGTTCAAGATACAACATCATAACTCTTCTCCCTACCAACCGAAGATGAATGGCGCTGTTAAAGCAACTAACAAGAACATCAAGAAAATTATACAGAAGATGACAGTGACATATAAAGACTGGCATGAGATGTTACCATTTTCTCTTCATGGATACCGTACCTCAGCGTGGACGTCGATAGGGGAAACACCCTACTCTTTGGTGTATGGCACGGAGGCAGTCCTACCCATCAAAGTTTAGATACCTTCTCTCAGGATTATGAAGGATGCGAGTTTGAATGAAGACGAATGGATCCAAATTCGACTTGATCAGTTAAATCTAATCAATGAGAAGAGACTTGCTGCTATCTGCCATGGTCAGACATATCAAAAGCGAATGATCAAGGCTTTTAATAAGAAAGTCAGACGTCGAGAATATAAAGTCGGGGATCTAGTGATCAAGCGCATCATACTGCCGCAAGGTGATCCTAGGGGCAAATGGACCCCCACATACGAATGGCCATTTATGGTTAAGAACATTTTCTCAGGTGGAGCTATGATTCTAACCACCATGGATGGTGACGACCTTCCTCACCCTGTCAATGCAGACATAGTGAAAATATACTACGCCTAATTAAAAGACCCGCTAGCTTGACTGGACTAGGAAAAAATAAGGGCTTCCCGGCGAACCAAAAGGGTTTAGGCAAAAATAAGGGATGAAAATGAAAAAAAATCTGTACACCTGGCAATTCGAAAACCTGAAAAGGCGGCTTGGGCAAAAAAGGGTATCCCGATGGACTGAAAACCTGAAAGGGCGGTCCAGGAAAAAGTTAGGGATATAAAGCATATCACTATGTCTCATTGGATCGCCTTGCGACCAGACTTCGATATCAATTATCAAGCTCAGACGACACCAATCAATTTAATTAACCTTCGGCCAAGTAGAAAAGTGATGAGACGCTCGAAGACATAGGGGCAATAACAGAGTTGGAACTCAATAGGATCGTTTCACATAGCTGTTTTACTTTCACACAATTCTGTATAGCTTCTATTTTTACGACGGTGTTCTCTTACTAGAACGTCAGCCTCCTTGTACAAAAACGCCTATTATAGGCCAACTTCAAAATTAATACAAGTCATTCTTACACACAAAAATGTTTGTTTTCCCTTTTTCTGTTTTATTTTGCGAGAACGTCCAATGAGTTATTCTTGACATGTGCATTTGAATATAATTGCTGTTCACAAATATTTGCATAGGAAACAGAAAGATAATTTCTCGTAACTTAAGAAACAGGAGTAAAAAAAACTAAAAGAATGTCAAACCCGACAGTTACTCTGTCCACCAGGTACCAAGGCAGAGACGACTTTGGAACACAATCATCAGTACATGCGATCTCGTTATATCAGTACTCCCCACAAAGTAAAAGCTTTCAAAGGAATTGACGTCAGCCTTTTCCAGAATAGGAAGTAACCTCCCCAACCAGGGTCATTCAGAAACCTGACGTATGTTCCTCAACCGAATTTCATAGTCGCGAGTGAATCAGTAAATTTTTATCTCCCAAGCAGAGTTTATTTCTTTGGACACATAAACTCAATCCCCGATAGAGTTTATTCCTTCAGATACGGAAGTTCACCTTCTAACAGAGTTATTCCCTGCAGAGTTATTCTCAAACAGAGTCTCTCTCCGGCAGAATATTCACAAACAAGGAGCGAATCTACAATATAGTCGTCTTCGTTCACCACCCCCGACGGAAGTAAAAGGATCACAATCCTCTACCACAGTCAAAAATGCTATATTCTCCAGCAGCAGTCAGGGATTTATTTTCCCAGACTCAGACATGTCACAATAGCATTTCATGTGCATACATCATGACATGCGCATACATATTGCATAACATCATAATCTCATTTATTTTGAGAACATCTTCACACAATGCATTTAATGCATCACATATAATTAATCTTGTACCTTTTCAGAAAATAGGGTTATCATCAACAATTTCCAGCAGGTCCAAGATTAGTTCCTGAACAGACTCATCAAAGCGACCTTACCCAAGTTCCTCTTAAAGTTCTACTCAGACTCATCACAAAGTAACCTTACCCAGGTTCCCTCTAAAGTTTTACCCAAACTTATTTTGAAGTAACCCTACGACCCAGGTTCCTTCTAAAGAGCCCTACTATCCAGGCTTTCATTTCGAAGCAACCCTACGACCCAGGTTCCTTCTCATAACCCTACTATCCAGGTTCTTTCCCATAACCCTACTATACAGGTTCCTTCCTATAAGCCCTATTATCCAGGCTTTCATTTCGAAGTAACCCTCCTATCCAGTTTCCTTCCGATAAGCCCTACTATCCAAGCTTTCATCTTGAAGTAACCCTACTATCCAGGTTCCTTCTCATAGCCCTACTATCCAGGCTCTCATTTCGAAGTAACCCAATGATCCAGGTTCCTTCTCATAGCCCTACTATCCAGGATTTCATTTCGAAGTAACCCTACTATCCAGGTTCCTTCTCATAGCCCTACTATCCAGACTTTCATTTCGAAGTAACCCTACTATCCAGGTTCCTTCTCATAGCCCTACTGTGATACGGCGGGAGAACTGACTCGGGTCATTTTGCATTTTGATTGCATTTGTGCGGATAGCAAGAGTCGCCACCGACTTTTCTTTTATCCAAAAAGGAAAGGTAAAAAAGCACAGGAAAGACCTTTCGAGATTATTTCTCGGGTTCGGGGGTAGATTATGAAAAGGGAAGGTGTTAGCACCCTTTTCATCCATAGTTATCTACGGGCTCTTACTTACTTGCTAGATCACTTGCTTTTGCTTTGACAATGTGCTTGTAATATGGGCTTTGAAAGTATTTTGAAAATGTCTTTGTAATGGTTCTCATTTCTATAAGAACGCGTATAAAGTTTTGTTTCGAAAAATAGTTCAAAGACGTGTTTGTGGAATGTGTTTTTGAAAGTGGTTTTGAAAATATATTTTTGCAATTGTTCTCGTCTCTATAAGAACGTATACAAAATGTTTTCTCTTTCGAAAATGTTTTTGAGATGAAAGTGTTGGTGTGAAAATGTTTTTTTCGTGAGCAAGCGAGCAACTAGGAGCGAATCTACCTACACGAAAGGTCTTAAATGTTCTTTTCTTCCTCCTTTGGATGTTGCCATCTTACCATTAATTTGGTAAGAAGCCCCATCGTTGGATGTGAAAGGACAGGCACGGGTCAATCCTACAGTCATCGAAAGCAACTTATGAGACGCTTTAGCAATTTTTGTAAGGGACTAGACCGTTTTATCGAAGGCAACATCGAGGGGTCATCGATGGACTACGATCTTTTTTTATCGAAGGGTCTTTGCTAAAGCGTCTCATATTCGAGGGACATGAATGTGTTTCTGAGGCAACGAGCGAGGTTACCCTAGAGGTGCTCATGTGAAAAAGTGTGTTCGATTCAAGTTAATTTTATCTTTGGAATTAGGTTATCTAGCGATTGTTTTTACATCTTGCCATACACACCTAATTACTATACAGTATAAAGAAAACAATAAATTGCGGAAATGGAAATTCTACGCTATTACAGAGCTTTCGGGAATGGGGGTACAATTTTTACAAATGAGGATGAGTTGAATGCGATTAAAAAGTCCAAATAGCAAACAATACAACCAAATTGAATTTGAACGATTAATTAAAATTATAACAGTCTATGAAATAAAATTAATTAACAAGGTATAGCAATAAGATTCTAAGTATTTGTTTGTGAAAAGTTTGGAAGGAAAAACAAAAATAAAATTCTATTCTATTAAAGAAAATAAATGACTAAAGAAATAAATTTATATATTTTTTTGTCTTTTATGATTTTTGTTATTTTATAAATTAAATGAACCAAATAAACTTAATATACAAAAATTAGTTAATAAAATAATTGACAAAATCTTAAACTAATTGAGAAAACAAATTAATTTTGGAAATGTACATTTTTATTTAATTGAATTAGAATTAAACCTAAAATAAATTCTAAACTAATTTAAAAATCTAAGTTCTTATATTAATTCTAAAGTTAAGTAAATAATAATTAAGTAAACAAGAATAAAAGAAATTCTAAAAATATTAAGTTAAATCTAAACTTAATTAAAACTAAGATTTACTAAAACTATATTAATAAAAAAATAGGGGGTGAGGCTGGAAAAAGAGCATTGGATTTGGGGTAAGATCTAATTTTGTTTTATCCAACAAAGCATAAAAAAAAAAGGAAAATGTCTCCAGATTTGTCGAACCCGAGACTCCTATTGTTATTGCAAATAATGCCTTACCATCTGTACTAGATCGCTTATTCTTATTAATATGTTTCAATTAAAATTAAAGGATAAAAGGATAATATTGATAATGAAGCTGGGCCAATAAAAAATTTCCACACGCCTCCCTGGGACCACCATAAATCAGCGCCACTTTCTCTCTCTCTCTCTCTCATTCATTTATTTCATTAGATTAATTATAAAACAAAAAAAACTATGTCACATATGATATCAATCGGTCACCTTCCCATTTAAGTTGAATAAAACAAAAGCAATGCCCCAACCAATTAGATTCCGCCACATACCCATCTTCTTCAATCAACATGCAACGAAACCAGTAAACACAATAGAATCAGGCCCTTAAATTCATGTTTATAGCAAACTTCCAGATCTAATATCTCTCTCAATATTCCATGGATTTGAAAAAATTCAAGAAGAAAATATGAAGTATGAAGAACAAGGAACATAACTGTACCATTGGTTTCCAAAAACACACACTCAAACAAAGAGAAAATCAAACAACAATTTGAGCATATGGACTGAATACAAGTTTTTAAATCATGACATTTTCAAACATAATTCGCATCTTACCTATGGTAGGGTCCAGATGCATATGAATGAGCTTAAACATGAGGAGAAGCTTGGCATGAACATGAATATAAAAGAGTTCATGGAAACTTACCAAGTGGAACAAGAGTCCACTGCTCTTCTTCTCTGCGTGAGGGTGAAGAGAAAACTCAAACAAACAACTTCAGATCTTCAGATGAAGATGATAAGCCCAGAAAACGAAGAGAGCTTGCCGGTTTTCTTTTTTTTTTTTTAGTGAAAAGAAGATTGTTGGGGGTGGCTGCTTGCTTATGAGAGTGAGAGGGAGTGTATTTTTCGTGGTCTCGGGTCCTCCCTTTTAATAAGAAATGAGCTCCTTTTATAGAGCAAGAACTGAGGTTGATGTTTAACCTTTGTTAAACAACTTAATGGCTAAGTTTTAACAATAAAAAAAGTGAGTTCTGATGGTGTGCTTCATGTGTGTATGGCCATGCTTTTGCTGCGTTTTTGCTGAGTAAAATGAGTGTATGAGAGGAGAATAAAGGTGATGTCATTGTTGGGTGGAAAAAGAGAGTGGAAGGCATCTTTCCATTTTGGCAAAATAAGCAAAAATATTTTTATGATAAATAAGAGGATGTGTGGCCAATTGGAGCAATGAAAAAGGGTGGAGCTTTGCACGTAAAGGACAAAATGCTTTGGAAGTAATACTAATAATAATAGTAATGACAATAATAATAAATTAAGATGTTAGTAAAAACTAAACTAAAAATACAAAAGTGAAATTAAAGAGATGTTAAAATTGGTTTTAATTCTATTAATAATTCAACTTAAAAATATTTCAAATGAAATTATAATCAAAATTAACACCAAAATTAATAATAAAGGGAATAAAAATAACTGAAAAGTTAAACCATATATTTTTACATTTTTGAATTAAATAAATAAAAATGCAACTAAAAAAACAAAGTAGATTTATATTCTCAAAAAATGCAAAAAGGAAAAGAACTTATATGTATTTTGAGAATTTTTTTTTGAATTATCAATGAAATAAAAATATAAAAATTAAATAAAACTAACAACTATAATTTTTTTTTTTATATTTTGAATAAAGTAAAACTGATATGAACTAAATATATTTTTTGGACTCTTTTTTTTTAATGAAAATAAGAATAAGAGAAAGATGATTAAAAAGTGCAAAAATACATGATTTAGTAAAGTCGGGCAAAACCAGTTAATTTTCACTAAATTCACAATGATTTCTAACGTTTCTATTTTCTCGTGGCTTTTTCAAAGCATAATCATCTCTTGACTTGTAAAGAGAAATTGGAGATGACGTCAAGGGGAGAATCATAGTCAGAAAAACCACTCGAAAATATCGAATAATGAAGAAGTTAACAAGCAATTGAACTTGTTCTCGCAAAAGGTCGATTTTCAAGTCGATGTAGTCGTTTTTAGTCATCTGAACCATTGATTAAGCAAACTTGCAATGCAAGGTTTGAAAACTGGCTTAAACAACCTTGAGGAGACCTGAAGTTCTATGAATACCATTTGAAATCTTGGAGACTCAATTTTCTTTGGGAAATGCAAAACCCTAATTGTGGACTTACTGTCTGGGAAGAGAATCTGTCTGATCAACTTATGAGCCAAATTGAGTATTCGAGAAGACCTAGGATAGTATCCTGAATAAAAATGAGAGGGAAATTTTTTGGGTACAACACCTATTATCCAGGCTTTCATTTCGAAGTAACCCTACTATCCAGGTTCCTTCTCATAGCCCTACTATCCAGGCTTTCATTTCAAAGTAACCCTACTATCCAGATTCCTTCTCATATCCCTACTATCCAGGCTCTTATTTCGAAGTAACCCTACGATCCGAGTTCCTTCTCATAGCCCTACTATCCAGGCTTTCATTTTGAAGTAACCCTACTATCCAGGTTCCTTCTCATAGCCCTACTATCCAGACTTTCATTTCGAAGTAACCCTACTATCCAGGTTCCTTCTCATAGCCCTATTATCCAGGCTCTCATTTCGAAGTAACCATACGACCCAGGTTCCTTCTCATAGCCCTACTATCCAAGCTTTCATTTCGAAGTAACCCTACTATCCAGGTTCCTTCTCATAGCCCTACTATCCAGGCTTTTATTTCGAAGTAACCACTACTATCCAGGTTCCTTCTCATAGCCCTACTATCCAGACTCTCATTTAGAAGTAACCCTACGACCCAAGTTCCTTTTTATAGCCCTACTATCCAGGATCTCATTTCGAGGTAACCCTACGACCCAAGTTCCTTCTCATAGCCCTACTATCCAGGATTTCATCTCGAAGCAACCCTACTATCCAGGTTCCTTCTCTCTTATCTCCAAACAATAGTTTACGATGCTATAAGACTTAGACCCGATCAGATACGATCGATTTCACGCTTCCCCAGTAAGTCATTGTGCAACATGCACCCTGACCAAATATACAACTTACTTCCACCTCATCAATCAAGAGTTAAATCCCCAATAGAGTAATGGACAACCAAAGCTCCTATACTCTACTGCCCCAGACATAAGTCAACATGCCCCGACGAAGTCCTCCTCAACGGCTAATACGAGAATTCTCACAAAGGAATCTCTTATGCGACCAATACTTTCTCTAGATGGCATCTTTATGCCCATCCCAGATAACTCCCCGTCTCTTTCCAAATGGCATCTGTAAGCCTATTCCCGATACCACCGATTGACACTCACTTCATACGAGTGCAAATTTCTGGGCACTCTAGTGTTCAATCATCTTCCACCTTCAGATCACGAAAGGCAGACAAGCCAATCTACATCCTCAGGTTTAAGAAGATTTAACAGGGGCAGTTGTTGCACCTCAAAATTTTCCCTCTCCTTTTACTCAGCACATGTCTATTGAGATCCTCAATTTGCTCAAGGTTGCCCAAGAGTTGACCAGACAAACTCTCTCCTAAGGCAATGTGTCTCAAATTAGGGTTTCCATTTTCATCAGGGTGGGTGTACTCCAAAGGCCTAAAATTCTTTCCATGGTCCTAATATGCTCTCAAGATCATCCATGTCAAGTTTCATGCCTTGCACAAGAAGTTTGCTCAGTCAACTGCTTAGATGCTTGGAAATCAACTGTACTAGGTCAAAAGTCAACTGTAGCCCACATACAGTCAAACTTCAAGATTTTTGGTCAACATCAACATTTTGAAGTTACTTTCATCATTTGATCAAGGGTTGATCATGATACCTCAAGGAATGCTCCTAATTTATCAAAACTCAAAAGTTGCTAAATTAGGATTTCCTAAGAAAAGTCAACCAAACTTTGACCAAGCATAACTTCCTCATACTTTATCAGAAATTTTCCATCCAAGGCTCATTCTGAAGAGGATGCAATTCCATACAATTCATATTCAGCCCTCAAGTTCAAAATATGCACTCATCAAAAGATATGAATTTCCATATTATAGGTCCTTTTGAAAAGTCAACAAAAACACCTTTTGGGTCAAAGCTTCTTACATGAACATGGAAGACCCAATTGAGATGATACAAAAAGGGTTGTTTAGGAGACATCCTAAACTTTCCAAAAAGTCCAAGAACACCTCTCTAGGGTTAAAATTGGAAGAGATATGCCTTGTCAAAATTGACCATTTTTGCAAAATTGCCAAAAGTCAAATGTGCTCAAAGATGCATTTTTTGCCAAATGGGCCTAACTTTTTTATGCTTGCACCTCACTCATAACATGGTCCACGACCCAAATATTCACCCACACATTGTTTGCTTCATTTTTAATTTTATTTTGATTTTTTATTAATTAAAAATTGAATTAAATCAAATAAATGACAACTAATAACAAAGATTTGTTTTGATCTGATTTTTGGACAAGATCACAAGCTAATTATGTTGATATATCAGGATCAAATTGAATCAAGGTGGATTGGCACAAGAATGGCATGATTAGGCCTAATTTGGAAACAAATCATACAAGGAAGGAATGAGATCAAATCTTCAAAATTTTCAAAGATACATGTAGTTTTTATAACTCTAATTCATTCAGGGATATATATTGAGTAAGACCAAGTGCAGACAAAAGGGCTAGCAGTCGTGGAAAGCACAAAGAAGAACTCAATTTTTTGGCAAAAATTGGTGAATCGAATTTCAGCATAGAGACTAATTCAAAGCATTCCAACACTCCCAATCGCATCATGGAGCATCTCTGAAGCTAAATGGATCAATTGCAAGTCCTTTTCACGCCCAGAAACTCAGGCTACAACTCACATGGTTTGCTCCTTTTTTCAAAATCGATTATAGTAATTCCTGCATCATTAGCGTATTTGATTGATATATTTGTGATTGCTGAGATGTTTGCAACATGACTCACTGATTTAATTGAATTTTTGATGCCTGTATATGCATTTTCCATGGCTAGGGTTTTGGTGTTCGTTTTAGGGTTTTGTCCATAGGTAAAATTAGACCATGAACAGGGCATCATGATGATCATGGCATCAAGACCAGTTGAATTTTGGTCTTTAAATTCATTTATCATGTGTATTTTTTAATGTTTGAAGCACGCAGGTTTTAGTTACAGACGTTATCCGTGGGTATATGGTGAACATCTAAGACGACGGACAGAAGGAAGAAGACAGTGATTTGTAACCACCTCACTGGTCCATTCAAACTTGGCGCGCATTTTCTGTTTTACCCACTAATCCATTTTGTTTTCATATAATATTGTTTGTTTTTATTATAATAACAAGAAAGAGCAAGTGGCCCAGTGGTGAAGCGTGCATGGTATGAGTGGGAGAACCTGGGTTCGATCCCAGGTCCCAGCATATTTCATTTTCTTGTTTTCTTTCCACAGATCATGTGCATCATCCTCTCAAACGCCTTCCATATGCCATCAACATCCAACAATGGGATCCATGATCAATCAGATCCAACGCCTCCTGCAATGAAGGATCATGGTGTACTCTCAAGTCAGCACCACATGGGATCAAATGTTAACTGGGCTGGTTGGCTTCATGGGCTTGGATAATTTCACAATACACCCCCCTTTTAGCAAACAAACCGATTCTATCTTTTTTTTTGTTTTAATTCTTTTAATTATTTTTCTAACTATTCTTTTTTTTTAAAAAAATAACATCAAATTATTTATTTTTATTATTAAATCATGAAATCACAAAAAAATACCAAAAACCATTTTTTCATAAAATGTTTATTTTCTTTAATTAATTAATTTAATTAAAAATTAGGATAATTTAACTCTTTTTTTTGTAATTAAAATCAATTAGAAATTAGGGTTTAATTTTGTATATAATTAATTCTTTCTTCAAAAAATAACTTAAATATTTTTCTCAATTAGATTTTTAGGTTTTATAATTATCCTCGCATTTAATTCGTCGCACGCATTTTAATTACTTTTTATTATTATTTTTGTAACTGCTCCGAGTTTGTAATAGCTTTAATTAGGTTTTAATTCCGCCTTTTAGTTTACAGTAAAAAATAATTTTGTATATGCGAAAGCCATGTAATAGCTAGAACTTTAAACTTTTCGCACTTTAAATTCC